GTGTGGCACTTTGTGATGTGGGGGGATTCAGAGGTTGGACTTGATAATCTTAGAGGCCTTTTCCAACCCTAATTACTCCAAAAATCATCAAGGACGAGGCAATTTCAGGTTTGGAGCTCCTTTGGGATGTGCAGTTCAGTTCTCCTGCACTCCCAGGAGGCACCGGGCACAGGAGGAGAGGACAAGACCGACCTCTGCTCCGTGAACTCGGGTCTCTCGATAGAAATTGCATCAATCAAATACAGAAAAACAGAAYTGGGATGGTTTGGGTTGGAAAGGACTTTTAAAAAACATCTCATTCCACCCCCTGCCATAGCAGGGACACCTCCCACTGTCCCAGGGTGCTCCAAACCCTGTCCAGCCTGGCCTTAGACACTGCCAGGGATCCAGGAACATATGAAATTCTGATCAAAAACAAATAAAAATAAGGAAAACATTCCAGTTTGAAAACATGTTCCGYTTCAAACCTCGCTGTGGTTTCATGAAAACACTCAAGTGATTTTTAYATTTGTTTTTCAGTCACTGAGAATTTTCCAAACAAACCCAATCTGGGTTGACTCAAGGTGACCCTTCCCTCTGTTCCTGGCCTCAGCTTCCAGCCATTGCATCAAGGAATCCACTGCTGGCACAAGGAAAAACCCCAACAAGGAGAGGAAAAACCTCCTCCAGATGGAAATGCGGCAGCCCCAAAAGGGAAGTGGTGGCAGCTCCAAACGAGACCGGTTTGGGTTAGAGATGGGATATTCTCATATCCTGGCCGAGATAAACATTTGGGGTTTGCAAAACCTGGGCTGAAAGGGGCCAGGTGAGATCTGTGTAGGGTGGGATTGGGCTGGGTTGGGGTTACAGCAAGGGTTGTGACCCTGGAGTGGGTTTGGGGACATCCATGGAGTGAGGACTTAGGGTTGTGACCCCAGAATGTGTCTCGGGACACCCATGGTATGGGCAGGACCAAGGATTGTGACCCCAGAGTAGGTCTGAGGACACCCAAAGGATGAGGACTGAGGGTTGTGACCCCAGAATGGGTTTGGGGACACTGATGAGGTAAGCAGGACCAAGAATTGTGATCTCAGTGTGGGTTAGGAGACACTCATGGGATGGGCAGGACCAAGAACTGCCACCCCACAACAGGTTTGGGGACACCCAC